AAAAAATTATCACTAATAAGTCGCTTGCTCGGCAGCCAAACTTGCAGGCAGCAACGACGCAGCAACTCATACATACATACATACATAACTTCACGCCTGTCTCCCATGGGGGTAGGCAGAGACTAAGGAACGCCAATTACTACGATTCTTATAGTTATACCCCTTTCTCAATTTTAATAATCTGAACCAAGGCTAAGCCAGGGCGTACCACTAGTATAAAATTGAATAAAAGTACTAAAAGGTTGTATTTACCTACCATTAAAACAATAATACTGTACCTAATCATTAGTATGCCTACCATGATCGGCTTCGCTTCAAATGAAGAATAGTTGATTGTTTGCGTTATACCTAAGTACTAGAAACTGCGTTGTTTTTATCTTAACTGATTTATTGGTATTGTTCAGTCAGGTATTGCTTTATTTTATACTGGAATTACCTACCTACTTTTCAAAGATGGTACGTATAGGAAGCAGGCTGATGGTCGTCAATATTAGCACCGTCCAAAGATGATGGACATCCGTCTTCCATCCGTCACACCAGAGGAGCATGTGCATTACCGGCCTTTTAAACTGTCAAACACCAAGCGGTCACCGGTAACCGCAACCTATTGTTCTATAATTGTGTCTATAATGACGGTACTCGACGAGTTAAGGAGGAGAGGTCCTCCGGTTACCTCACTCACATAATAATAAAAGCGTTGTTTAATACCAGGTCTATAATAAACTCCGTATACTTGAAACCTCATAAATAACAGTCCTGTATAACACGGACTCTAAAACCATATTCTTAACAACATAGTTTACGACTAGACGAACAATGAAGTTCTTTATATTGTTAATAAATAAATCTCATTTTCAATAAAAAGGTTCATTTATCAATTTTTTAATTTAGTTCAACGAATTACTTCGTCCCTGAAGGTCACTGAAACGAGTCCCATTGTTCATTGTTCAATATTTCTTCACGATCTATGTTTGCTTAGAATATTTGATTAATGATACTTATAAGTCAGATTGTTTCTATTTGTAAAGTTCATTACACAGTAATTACCTATCAGTGTTAGTGTACGAAATACAAACACCTCTTTTTTAAGTAGGAAAACATTAATAATAGGTATATCGACCTCTTTGTATGAAAAGATATGGGCAGGTTAAGCGCACTGAATTCAAAGGTGAATCTTGTGCTCTCAAAAAGAGCTAGGTAATCGGAAAAATATATGTCGGTGTTGAAGATTTTACCTTGTCTACTTCAGATACACATAAAACTAGAAAAAAAGAAGATTAGATAAATGGACCTAGACGATTTTAGTAACTGAGACTTGTGTCGCTAATCTGTTTTCTATGTCGTGTCTTAGGTTCAACTCTTTACTCTAATTGGCCATATTTTTTCCTATTCATATCCCGATCAACGTGGGTTGGTTGATCACAAATTCCTTTCATCATGGTTATTTTTTCCAGAATTTATCTATTCAATATACCAATTCTTATCCTCTATCTTTTTATCCTTCCGCATTTAAATACATGTTTGGATTAGCCGTGATATCTATTATAATTCTTGAATGCTATATATCCATCACTACTTCATTCGAAGCCAGGATTAAACTCAATATTAAACATCGCACTTACGACAACTAAACTTGGCTGCCTCGTTGGCTGAGTGGCCGCAAATGCGACTGCCGGGTAAGGGGTCTCGGGTTCGATTCCCGGGTCGGGTAAAGTATTACTGGGTTTTTTCAAAAAATCTCAGGAGTAGCACGGACTCTGGAATTGTGCCCGGTAAATGGCAATAGGCTCACCCCCTATTACATGGGACTCATAACATAAACATAAATAGTGAAAAGTAAGTGTTGCATTGTTACAATGTACACCTCTGCCTACCCCTTCGGGGATAAAAGGCGTGATGTTATGTATATATATACTATTAGAAAACAGGTGTAAACTTATGTTTTAAGAAGAAAAATACAACTGCAAACTTTTAAGAAAAGTGTAATTAGAACGACTAGATAATTGTGACAAAATTATTTATCCTCAAATTAACAAAATAACAAAGAAATATTAATTGGCACGACAAGCGTATTGCCGGTCTGATGAATCTCGAACAAAAAAAGGGCAAGTTATGCACTCGACACGCCTTTTATACCGAACTAAATTTTCTTCTACCTTCAAATATTCCTAACAATACAACTAAACTTAAAGTTGCAACAAAGACGAAACGATTATCCAGCAACCTATGGTAAGAGACTACTTTAGTTATTACTAATTTAAATAAATTACAAACACGTGTTGTCTATATATTAGCACCAACCTCCAATTTAGGTACCTATATAAAATCTGCAGCACGTTTTACAAAACGTGAACCGCCTAAGATTAGGTAATACCTACGTTTTTTTAAACGCAGTTTTTCGACAACTGTTTGAGGCCAGTGACTGGATATTTGATTTACAAATGACATACATACCGCATCTGAAATATTCTTCATCCATATCTAATATTAAAAAGAGCAAATATTTGAGATTGGTTGTCAGTTTGTGTTTATTCCGAAAGTACTGGACTGTTTTGAATAAATCTTTAACCTTCAGAAAGCTTCATTTTCAGGGAGTAACTTAGGAAAAAGAGGAAAAAAATCCTATCCGAAATTCTGCACGGACGAAGCCGTATGCGGAATAGGCTAGTAATAAAAAAAACTTTAATAAATTCTGTTTGCTTAACCTTGGATAGATGTGCGAAGTTATAGACAAGAGAAATTTTGTAATACAATAGGTACAATAGGATAACAAGCTTTGAGAAATTCACGAGGAAACTCGAAGGTGTCTAGCGGAACACGGAATAATAAAGATATAAACATAATTAATTTCATTGATACAAAATTGATTATCTACTTATAATATTATGTATTTATGTAAGTATCTATCTGTATTTATATTTTTCATAATCTTTGTTTGTGTGCCATTTGCCAAATAAATGCTTTTCTTTTTCTTTATTTCTTTCTTTCGTTATAACACCAGTCTCCGGTTTGAAAACACAATCGTCAGTTGATTCAAACCAAAAGCACCATGACATTCCATTTGAATAAACCAAATAATAATAAAAAGTTGTCTAAAGGGCCTCTGCGCAGTTGGCTTTGGCCCCTTCTACGACTCCCAAATGACCAGGACCCTGGGGTCCCGTGAATGGTAGAAACATACATAATAATAATAATAAATACACGCGTAGCGACATCTATCGCAAATTCTTTAACTTGCAATAAATTATAAATTATTATGTAAAATACATTAATGATCATATATACCACATAAAAGTGTGATTAGGTACTACTATAACTATTTATATTAAAAAATAATTTCGAATTTAATACCAACACAGTACTGCCATCTGTTTTTACAAAAGCGTACTATAACAAGTCTTGTTTTAGTGAATTATGGAAAGCAAATAGGTAAATGTGAAGAATATAGTCAGATAATGAGATAGTGCCCGAATGTGCTAAATAGAGGGCACCACTGTAGCAAGATGAGAAGACAGTTTTAAAAAATTACACCCCACTCTTATTTTATGGTCTTTAAGCGTAAGGGCCGTAGAATGCTCATATTTGTCTTAATAATTTACCATTATTTTTACTTGTGAACCATATTACAGCACAAATAAGCTGATTCGACTGGATAATTGGACTTATAGAAAACCATCAGCGTAAAATGAATGTGACAACTGTTTATTATAGACATAGACATGACATAGAGTCCATTTCACGAAAGAAGTCCCGCAGACGCAGCGCTGTATTCGCGCGACATAATGTTGCCACGATTAAATTTATATAGTATGGGGAAATCAGGAGAAATTGACATTAGTTTGATTAACTACGTACTCGAACAGTTCGAGGAATATTTTAAAAATAATGTCTTTTTATATAGGTATTTATGTTTATACTGCTAAGGTCAGATTAGTGAAACATTAATCTTCCTGTAATTTCTAAAATATAAAATGGACATAAAGATGTTCAACCAACATCAAATTAGAAACATAAAATAACATTTAAAAAGTTTTATTAAAGTTTTATTGAATAATTATGATCGGTCATACTATGATCACTGTCAGAAGAGTGAATAGAAACAGAATTAGATTCTGTTTCATTATCACTAGCCGTAGATATAATAAATCGATGCATTTCTTCATCCATAAGACCATCATTTTTTAAATATTCTTCCTCCAAATGCTGTACATGTTTGCATTGAACTGCCCAATCTTCCGCTGTAACAGTCTCGAACGCCTCTTCTGTTAGGCGTACAATTTCTTTTGGATCTTGGCCCACGTTTTTAACCGCTACCCGTCTGTTTATAACACACGACTCTCCGACACACCTGCAATAAAATGAACAATTAAAAAAAATCTAACAGTGACTTTTTCCGCATTTAATTACATTATTGTTGAATACAATTTTACAAATTTTTGTTGTGTTATGTTAATTCCTCATTAAAAAAACTTAAGTCTAATTGGTAAAAAATATGTTTAATATGGCAGCCCCAAAATTTACCTGTTATGGCGGCGACTCTTTTGCGAACATTGTCTAATGGTATTAAAACGCTGCGATTCTTCTGTTCCGCTTCACAGAACTCTTTCACTTTTAATATCATTTCTCGACCTGCACTTTTTACAACTTTTGGCATCGTAAATAAACCTTATAATGCACTAATTTAATAATAAACTCACAAAATATCTACCACAACAAACCCACCTTAACAACATCGACAAACGACAACATGGCCGAACTCCCCATTTGTCAAATTTAGTTCCACAATTGTCCGCGGGACTTCTTTCGTGAAATGGACTCTAGACTTACACAATTTTTTTTAAGTGTAGTAACCATAACCCATTACACACGCACACATAAATAACCCACTGACATTTTGGTGCTTCAATCATTTGTAAGTGACAGTTTTTTTCTTTTTTCAACATTCTTGGCGCAAGCCATACACGTCGTATGTTGGTTTTTTAATAAAACTTCAGAATGTGAGAAAATACATTTATCTTATAATATCACTAAACATATCAATAGATACATGATACATTTCTGTACCAAAACGATAACAATAAAATGGTTATTTTCACAAAAATATCAAACTTAATACTGTATCTATTTATAATATGTAATTTGTATTAATTTCTTGGCTATCGTAGACTTTGATGGCCCAAACCGTTATGATAATGATATAATCCATTAACAAAAATTTTAGATAATTAAAAACACATTTTTTTTTTAAAATAGAACTAAATTAAATTATCGACTAAATAAAAAATGCAGCGCTGATATTCGCACTAGGTATAATGACACAAGTACTTTGAACTTCGTAATAAAAATATAGTTCATTTGTTTGACAATGATATCACAATAAAATTAAAAATACCTATGTATCGTCATTTATTATTATATATAACATTTCAAACGTTTTAGCTCAAACTAAACATCTAATAAGGCGTTTTCAGACAATTGTAACATAATTTTTACAGGCCAACTTAAATGAAGTTGTCAGACGTCCCTAAGCTACGGTGAATGGTTTTTATCAGAAGGGTTGTTAGAGTAATTTATAATTGGATTGGAGTCTGTTCGGGGCCCGTGACAAATTCTATCGGATAGGCCCCCGTTCAAAAACAGAGACGTTCAGGTGAAAACCTATCAACAGGGCCCCTTCCAGGTCGGAGCCTGTGGCATTTTGCCGATTGATCACCCTGTACCTACTTACGCCACTGCCCTACGCGACAAAATAGTGTGTTCGATTTTCAAAATTGTTATAACATATTAAGGTTAAAAATAATACATTACAGGTTAGACAAAAGTATAATCTTCAGTTGAAAACGCTTTAAAAGATTGTTAGTTCCTATTAATAAACCCTGTAGCCGGAGCTAGCACGACAGACCACCACCCTCGTTACGTTCCAGTTCCCGCCTTACGTAAGCCGCCTGCTCTTCAGTCAAGCCCAGACTTTGGACTTCTTTGTCGAACTGGGCTTTACCTCCCATTCCAACTAAGTAGCCATTCAACCTGGCTGCCACGTGTGAAGTCTGCAACTTTTCGGCGTCCAGGCCCAGACTCTTGCACAGATCCTTATGACCTTGCAGTCTGTATTTCTGGTGGTAACTGGAAAATAAAAAATGTAGTGGTTAGACATGTTGACAGTTATCTCATAAGTATTTTTAATAACAAAATTTTTTCATACAAAAGTAGTCTGTAAGCATTAGAAATAAGGCCTATAAATGAGTGCGTGGTGAGAGGACACCGGTGTCCTCTCGAGGATTTAGATGTCTACCTGTGATATTTCACTGCTGGAATTCCACTGCTGGACTATGGTCTTAATGAGAAGGTTTACCATAAATCTCCTCACTTAGCAGGTGGGGCACAAAGTGCAATTTGAAATGCTGATCAGCTAAATAAATGGCTTTGATTGTATTTATTATTAGGGAATGAAAGTGACAAATATCTCATGAACAAACTAAGATAAGAATGGTCATACTCATAAATAAATCATAATACTTTAATGGCCTTAACGGCGCTAACATTTCTCACTTACTATCTAAGGAAAATAAATACATTGTGACCAAAACTACGTTGTATTTTGTGTATCGACACTAATTTTATCAGTACCTAAACAATAAATATTAATTAGTTATCTTTAACTAGCTAGCTATCTATACTAACATCACGTGTTAAACATTCAATTGCGCTTCAAGAAAACCAATTGTATTGATTTGACCAGCACAACGAACTTGTTGATTGATATGATCTCAAGTTCATACTATAAATATTTTCAATTGGCTATATAGGTTTGTGTTGGTGTAAAGGTCCTATCATCAAGGTGGGACATTATCCTTATTTAGATATTTTTTTATTTAACAAAAAAGGCACAGTAGGTACTTAAGGCTTATTTTAAAATTGCTGGCAACGTAACAGTAACGGTTCCGTATCGACGTTTTAAAAATATGGTCCATTCCAATTACATCAAATGGCTATAAAATGAGTATGACTTTTTTTTTGAGATAAGCCGGTAAACGGGCAGACGGATCACCTGATGGTAAGCAATCGGCGTCGCCCATGGACACCCGAAACACCAGAGGCGTTACAAGTGCGTTACCGGCCTTTTGGGAATTAGGAATTTGAGGATTGTGGGGGATTCGGGGATTGGGGAGACTGGGGAAGGGGGTAATTGGGCCTCCGGTAACCTCACTCACACGACGAAACACAACACAAGCGTTGTTTCACGTCTGTTTTCTGTGAGGAGGTGGTATCAACTTTTGCCAGTCGGGTACTAAGGGTCTAGTCAGAGTCTAACTTTTAAGGCCCTTTTGTAGTCTGTTGGGATCTTTTTGGGGCCTAAGAACTAAATTACTTCGCTGTCCTGACTCAAGTTGCATTATTATATTTCAATCGACCCTACCAAGAAAGCCTAGTCCGGATCTGTATACACCCTTGTTCTTAAATAGCTCTGATTGAAAGGAAAATTGATACTTGTGCAGAATTGAAACTGTAACCGATTCACACGTGGTGCCCGGACATTTAATGAGACGTGGACCCTGGCCTGATTGTTGCCATAATCGACACTTATTTATGTATGCTATGCGTTAAATATTCGAAGGTTGTTGCTAGACGCCTAACCAAGGTGAATTTTTATACCGACTTCATTAGTAGGTAGATAATGTTGCCTAGTATCATGTCGCAGATTCCCATTTAATTTTATTAATGGCAACATTGTAGTATAACTGCTCATTCAATGTAGGTATTTAGGTTAATATTTGTAGGTAAAAATTAGTTAATGTTAATAGATATTACGTATTAAAGAAACAATGTATTATGAACATAGTAAACACAGAAGTCTTACGTGTGTGGGAAGTTCGTCTCGTTAGAAAAAACACGTGTATAACACATTAAATGACGCATGGTTGGCATGTAAATGGCACTAACTTTGTGATTTATTTTACTTTCATATAATAATTATTTCAGATTAGACACAGTGCAACATTTTTAAGTTAGTGTATTCAGTTAACTCTGTGCCAAGACACAGGTCCCAAACTTAATGGAGCGAAACCTTTATAAGGCGCCCAGTTTGTTGGGGAAAATAAAAAGTAAATAAATTATTACTCGGTTGCTATGAGTAGCAGCGCGACGGTCGCCGCGTCGCGGGTCGCGAAATGCTACTCATGAATATGAGCCTCTAGCATGGCTTGAAACTAGTCGAGTTCCTCATCAAATAATTACGTGAGTAAGCCGAAAACATAATAATTTAAAATAAAAAGGGTGGGATTTTTGCCTCACTAAGTAAAACCTTCTCGGTGGAGAACACCAGTTACAGCACAACCCTATGAAGTCCTATGTGGCTTCGTAGAAATTCGTTGTGCACCGTAGCACGTGACGGCTGTGCCACCGTCTCATAAATATAGATAGTTTTTAATATTTCTGTGCACCATCTTCCCTGAGGTAGGGTGGACTAGATTCCAGGGTGAGCTAGTGACAGAAAGGAGTAGGTTGACCTGCTAGTCACTATACGTATAAGTTGGTACTTACTCCTCAGCAGGGTAGAAGATGCCAGCCGGCGCGATCTCAGTGCGCAGTGGTTCGTTGACGCGCTCCTGTGTCGTTTTGTACGAAGCCTCCGCTGCCAAGCGCTGCTCCTCATCGTGGTACAGGATCATAGATTGGTACTGGAATGTAAATAAAAGAAAAATTATGAATACCTTTGAAGATATTCTCAGGCTGAGAACTATAGATAGACAAGTGTGAGAGAGCCATGCTTCGGCACGAATGGGCCGGCTCGACCGGAGTGATACCACGGCCTCACAGACAACCGACGTGAAGCAACGCGTGCGTTGTGTTTCGTCGTGTGAGTGAGGCCCAGCTCTCTTCCCCCTTCCCCAATCTCCCCAATCCCCGAATCCCGAATCCCCAACAATCCTCAAACTCCTAATCCCCAAGAGGCCTGTATCACACTTGTAAAGCTTCTGGTATTCCAGGTGTCCATGGCCGACGCCGATTGCTTACCATCAGGTGATCCGTCTGCTCGTTTACCTATTTTTTATATGCCATAAAAAAAAGAAATTGTAGAAAACAATATTATTATGATGCTTCTTGTCATAGCTAGATCATTCACTATCTCATTGTTTTTTTCAAAAGAAGTCTTAATTTTTGCTTTATTTAATGAAATAATTATTATCAATCTAAAAACTTAGAATGCAGTAATGTCAAGTGCATTATGTAAAGTCTAACAGGGTCTAGCTAATTTCATGAGCAAACACATCTAGGATCTTAAATATTGTAAAAATGAAATTAGCACCTTATATTGTTAGTCGTCTAGGATAAAAATAAATTAGCACATACGTATTATATTTTAGACAAAGACAATATGTTTAGTTTTACACGTGTGCGGTAATTACACGGTCTACCTACACCATTGGCGCAAGAAATTGTTTACTTCCATAAATTACAAACTCATAACGCAATGGTAAAGAAAATAGCACTTATTTACATATCGCACTAAATATGAAATTAGCAAGCCCAATTAAGTTGTGCCACATAAAACCACATCCCAGCCACTTCAGCATCGGCAACATCGGCTCGAAGTGCAGTAGGAACGGGGTGGTTTTTAGCCAGTAAGAGTCTGACACTCCCTCCCGCCTCAACTAGGCGGGAGAAGTCATTCAATGATTTTTCCCCAATAAAAAAGCCACTTCAGTATCAATAAGTCTTTGACAATACCCATAGCCACACCATCTGCTGACCAAATGTTGGCGATATTCAATAGAGGCTCCAACGCCAATTACGACAAAAAAGTCCTTTTATCCCTTCGTTACTTTTAAGGCCTAGCCTTAACTTCCCTAATTGCCCTTGTATAAGATGCTGGACTATCTCCCACCTCTATATAAGAGAGTTTATCATAATATCCACGCTTGGAAAAGGTGAATTGGAAATCGCAATATAAAAGGGTTAGGTTTATCAGCCGCTTCTGCCCGGTGTCTGTCAGTCAGCTCTCACGACAACTCTTATAAGTGTGGGAGAGGCATGCTTCGGTACGAATGGGCCGGCTCAAACGGAGTGATACCACGGGCTCACAGAAAACCGACGTGAAGCAACGCTTGCGTTGTGTTTCATCCTGTGCGGGAGGTTACCGGAGGCCCAATTGACCCCCTCCCCTTCCCCTACCTCCCCAATGCCTGAATCCCAAACGATCCTCAAACCCCTTATCCCCAAAAGGCCGGTAACGCACTTGTAACGCCTTTGGTGTTCCAGGTGTCTATGGGCGCCGTCGATTGCTTACTATCAGGTGATCCGTCATCTCGTTTATCGGATTATGCCATAAAAAAAAACTCCGTTCAGTGGTGACACTAATTTAAGTAATGTACCTATTCTATTTACCGTCATTACGCGGCTACAATGGTCAAGTTCAACTAATAAGTAGTTTAAACCACATTTTAACAAAACCAGGTTCCAAGTTCTAACAAAGACAGTTCATTCATGTCCCTGAGAGAGACAACTTCAGTTTCGGTGTTATCATTGTTTTAAGTATATAGGTAGATAGATCTACTGTTGTTTTACAAGAGTTGCAGTGGCTTGCGCCATTAAAAATAACTTTTTATCAGGGTTAGTATGATTGGCGGTTCTGGTGTTGCAGATGCCCATTAATTATGGTAACTGTTGTCCATCAGAGACGAGTTTGTTTTGTCACCTCAGTAACCTAATAAAAAGGATTAAATAATATTTACCTGTCTTTTTAGTTTGGTGGTGAGTCCATACTCGTGGTTGGCCCAGAACATTTCCAATAGGTGATCATAGGTCACTGTCTTTGGGTCATAGTCCAACTCGATGACCTCTGTGTGGTCGCCACTGAAAATAAAATATAGATATTTTTAATTACGTAATATCACTACATAGTATCTATCAAACAAAGTCGCTATTCGTCTCCCTATGTATGCTTAGATCTGTAAAACTACGGAACGCATTTTGATGCGGTTTTTTGAATAGATAGAGTGATTCTTAACTCGTCGAGTACCGTCATTATAGACACAATTATAGAACAATAGGTTGCGGTCACCGGTGACCGCTTGGTGTTTGACAGTTTAAAGAAGGTTTATATGTATAATACATGCATATTGCACCCGTGCGAAGCCGGGGCGGGTCTCTTGTACTTAGGTGACTATTATTGGGAATACTTCATTACTTCCTAATTTGAATTCCCACATTTTTGGGTAACCTTCATGTAACATAACTAACAGACAGATTATAAAAAAAAACTGTCTACAAATTAAAGTAGCTGGATACAATATAACCAGATATAGGTACTGTATCTCAGGTTTTCAGACCAAACCAGATTATTTAACCTATTTCAAAAGAGTGAATGTAAATTACTGAAATTATTTTGTTTCAAATCACTCATAATTCACGAGAACTTCATGCACGCGTGGGTTATATTTTTAAACCATCTCAATAGCATAGAGAGGAGCGTAATGTAAATAAAAACTAGTTCAGTGCGTGGACGCACGCGACGACGCGACGCCTTGGCCTTGCGCACGCGCCGGGGCCGCCAACCTTGGCGCGTTATCATCAAATTAAGCACAACTATTACCGGACATACATTTTAAATGTAGTTTCGGTTTCGTGATAATTTTTGTCATTGTTTTAAGTTCCTTTACAATTTGTTGTTGATTTTGTTTGAAAACGATTTTTCGCAGGCTAGACACTAGCAAATAAGTTTGCCAAAGAAATATATTTTATATGTGTAAATTTACTTATTAGTCTGTCAGCTTAACGTTAATGTCTCCTCACACAGTAGGCACTAATTAACCAAAAGAAATATGTTTTGATAAATCTGATAATTAATTTTGAATTTTCAGTCTGATAATGTGATTAAACTCTTACAAGTTACGTCATACAAAATGAGCCGCACACATTTTGCGGGATTTTTCTGCACCCTGTTCAGTGTTTACTTTTATGAGTGGTATTAAAAATGTTCCTGTGTCAATATTATTAACTTATATGCCTATACCTTTTTTTTAATGGGGAAACTCATCTAATGACTTCTCCCGCCCGGGTGAAGCGAGAGTGTCAGACTCTTACTGATTAAAAACTACCCCGTTCCTAATCCTGCACTTCTAGTCGGAGTCCCGGTAACCCGTTAAGTCCTCCGAAATGCCTAGTGGGGATCCTAAAAGTAGAGAAATTACGAACTTCAGTAGCATATAGCAATATGTACCTACGTATATCTATCTACTGCAACCAACGAAATTATGCGCTTGTAAAGCGTATAAAACTTTCTGGAATAAGAATTTTTATTTAGATTCAGAAATTAAGTTTCTTTTTTAATGTATGGATGCCTCATGGATACCCTTTGTCTAGACAATAAGCGTCAGACATCAGGTTGTGTCGGACTCTTACCGACTAAAACCACACACTCATTCCCAGAAAACAATGAGAATCACTAGGTACCTACTCGAATGAACGAACTCACCTGCGTTGTCAGTTATCAGTTACCTACATAATATTTGTGTATATTCCAGGTAAATATCTTTTTATATAGAGTTTTATTGCACAATATTTCCTCAGCCGGGAAAATAAACTGACTTGTCAGGCCACCTGCTTGTTGGCTTATATGCCAGTCATTATTAATAACCATTGGTTTGTTTGTAGGTATCAATATCAATAGTAGATAGGTACGGCATACAGCGGTCAAGGTCGGCACAAAATTTCGCAACTCATTCACGTATTGATAAAGCGATTAGGTTTCTAGACTATCTAGTGGAACCTAACATAGATAACACGTAGGTACATAAGTAGATAAGTTTGTACACAATTACACTGTGTCATTGATTTGATTATGTTTATTCAACTGTTAGACTTGTGACTTTCATATTGAAAGAGAGAAAGAAAAAAAGTATTCATTTGATTATTGACATACAAGCCCAAATTCACTGTTTTTCTTGACTTTTCGATCCGGTTTCAATAATTGTGATCAAGTCAAACAGCCTATATTTTTTTTCTTTTTGAGGGGATATCATCCAATGGCTTCTCCCGTACGAGTGAGGCGAGAGGGAGTGTCAGGCTCTTACATAGTAAGTAGGTACCTATAATGCAGATGTATAAGGTGTTTAGTTCAACAAATAACGAGCGTCCTTCGAGTAAGTATAAGACAGTTATTTCGACCTTGTCTAGTAAAAGTATTGATCGCGCGCGTCCTTGAGACGGAAGGTCGGACAATGGTATTCGTACTATTTGTAGACATTGAGCCCAGTCTTAGCTATTCCCAACAATTTACAAGGTACTAGGAATCTGGGGGATTAGCGTTCTATCATCGAGGCAATAGCTAGATCTGCTAGATGATAGAACCTCGTTTTAACGGATTATGATGACTCGTAATCGTACTCGTATGAACAAAACAATGAACTACATTACTTACCTACTATGCTACGTACATTTATCAAGATAATAGTGAAACTATCACTATCACACACGTGTTCAGATAACACAGCTATTTTAATCGCACTACGACATATTATTGTCTTAAGTGAGAGTAATTCCGTAATAATAAATGAATAGCGCACATCCTCTGTGTCAGGGTATGTATGTGCAAAGTACGTATATGGGACTGGGAATTTTCAGTGAACCCGCGTGAAAGTTGATCAAAGAAAGGTCTTTGTTATCATAACAATCTTTTAGTTTCTATACTGCGCTGATTAGGAGCCAATATTATGTATTTTATAGGTTTCTAAAATAAGTATATAGAGCGGATATGAATGGAGCCGTCGGTAGATGGCGCCCGAGACGGACATATACTGACCAGATTGACGATATATTAAAGAGGTCAAATTAAAAGTACCGACAAGCATGCATGAAAAAACTGATGACTGTCGATGAAGTGAAAGAGGGAGCGTAAGAATCGTAGCAATTGGCGGTCCGTGGTCTCTGCCTAACCCAATGGGAGACAGGCGTAAAGTTATGTATGTGTGTATGTATGTATGTTTCTCAAAGTGGCAGCAGATATATAAGAATTTGACATACCTAAGTAGTAAGTAGATAGTGCGCATATGGCGCCGTAATCGCCACATGCGCACTATCTACGAAAAGAAAAAATAAGAATTGTTCTATATTTTTACCGTAACCGAATACTAAGAGGTTTCCAAATTCTTATTTCATGTTATTGTTGTTTCTAAGAGTAATACTATCATTAACCTATTTCTATTTCTAATTTTAGAGGAATTGCAAACATGAACCTTGAGTTTTTGATAAAATATTACTGGGTAATTGTGCCGAACAATTTTTATCACACTTCCGTAGCTATACTTCAAAATAAAACACAAGGTTTTTAAGATATTGCGATGCGATTAATGTAGCACGTAAGAATTTTGTAATAATTAATATTGATTATAAAAAAATGTACTTAATTGAATAATAAGGGCATGGACAAGAGTCCGTGGAGGATAACAAAACTATTTAAAAAAAGATGAAAAAAACGGACTAACTAAACTAACTAAGACTTCGTTTATAGAGAAAAATAGGTACAAGGTGAAAAAGTGTTCCTATGCCGACAACTTGAATGCTTAAGCAGGTATCTAAACCCAAGCGTATCTACGGCGCGTCGCGTTCCGCGCGCGCCTCAAAGAGCCATCACCACCACGGATGGAGCCCAATACGGCTGATGCCGGTACGGACCCGCGGAGAAGGTAAAAGGTTACCGGGGCTCCAGCTCAAAGTGGAGGAATAGGAACGGGGTGGTTTGTAGTCAGTAAGAGTCTGGCACTGTCATTTAATGATTTTCACCCCTTAAAAAAGGCACGTACTTAGGTACCTAAAGAAGAAATAAAAAATTAGAGAAATGAATCTAAATGTCCAATTCCAAGAAAGTTATCTAATAAGTAGGTAGTTTGTAGAGATTCTTTCTTAGTCAATTTCTATAAAATTCACATTCAAAATCCATTTGATATAGAAATATCGTATTTTGATATGTAAAATAAAAAATATTGCCTCATTGGCCGAGTGGTCGCAAGTGCGACTGCCGGGCAAGGGGTCTCGGGTTCGATTCCCAGGTCGGGCAAAGTACTATGGGATTTTGAAAAAAAAAATTCTCAGGTGTAGCACGGACTCTGGAATTGTGCCCGGTATATGGCAATAGGCTCATGCTTACATGGGACTCATAACATAAAAAGTGAAAAGTGGGTGTTACATTGTACAGTGGCATTAACTGCCGTAATGTGCACCTCTGCCTACCCCTTTAGGGATAAAAGGCGTGATGTTATGGTATACAAAAAATCAAGAAAATCGTTGGAGCCGTTTCGGCGATCGTTAATACTATTACATACATATATTACCTATACAAGAACTGCTCATTTAAAGGCATTAGATTGACACTTCAAAGATTACAATACTATCTCTATTCTAAGTATTAATTAAATGACACTACAACTTCATTATCCCTTAATTCTATTTGCCATAAAATCAATTGCGTTGCAATGCATTTACAATACTTAGTACCTAATGGTACTTCACAACGGTTAATACATTAACTCTTTACCTACATCAAGGGACTTTTAGCTTGTCACTGATGCATCATAGAATGACTGGAGCCGTTGTGAAATATGTCTCATTAGTTATTAGTAGGTACCCAAGTAATTTTGGTGTCGCGGTAGCCCGGAGGTTTAAAACGCCCACTTCTCATGCATGAGGGTGCGGGTATAAACCTACCAACGGCAAGTACCAATGTGACTTTTTCCGAGTTATATGTACTTTCTAAGATTATTCAGACACCACTGACAAACGGTGGAGGAAAACATCGCGAGGAAACCTAGGCTCATAATTTCTAATTATAAGTTTGAAATCACCAATCGGCATTGAGCAAGCGTGATGATTAATGCTCAAATCTTCTCCGTGTGAGAAGAGGCTTTGCTCAGCAGCGGACATTTATAGGCTGTTGATGATTATGGTGACCTAAGTAATTTTAAAGGGAACAACTAAGAACTAAATTACTTGTAGCATTCGTAAACAGTTTTGATTTTCGTTCAGGCAATAGAGCAGAGACGCGTTTGGCGCTCTGATTGGTTCGTTAATTGTCTCCGGCCAATCAGTGCGCCGAACGCGTACTCGTTTCGAATACTTTAAACGTAAAGAAACTCGTACTAAGGCCTCAGAAACCATACAGGCATTGCACAGTGGCGTAACTATAAGGTGGCAAGTCGGGCCTCCAGCTGGAAGCTCCCCTGTTCAGAGGTTTTCTTCTGAACGTCTCTGCGTTTTATTGAGAACGGGGCCCTTTTTTTAAGGGGGGGAAATCATCGAATGACTGCTCCCGCCTGGGTGAAGCGGGAGGGAGTGTTAGACTCTAACTAACTAAAAACCACCCCGTTCCTTCTCCTGCACGTCGACTTGGAGCCCCAGTTACCCGTTAGGTTCTCCGCGACGGGAACGGGGCCCTATCTGATGAATTTGCCACGGGCCTCATAGGGTCAGTACGCAGTACACTATAGTTACGCCACTGGTACTGCACAGATCTTTTGATCTCTGCAAGATCTTATAAGTATTTCGTTGATTCGTTTGTTTCATTAATTATCATTATAAACGATAACGATTAGTTTTAGGTGTCAATTGGAATATTTGATAAAGATCACCTCAGGTTTAATCTGTATTGAAATCAATGCATAAGTTATCAATAATTTGGGGACAATGACCGAAAATGAAGTTCCTCACATTGAAAATAAAGGATAGATTATATTATCTGATGGATAACAGAGAAATCTTATACCTACATTTATTGGTCAAACAATGAAATTAATCAGTCGAATTTGTCAACATCGACTATCGGTCACATCCTAGTCCATGTGGTGCAGTGTTGTATTTATATTATTTAACTAGCTATATCCGTAACTTCGTCTGCGTTTTTCTACCTCTAAAATAAAAGTAGTCTATGTTACTCCTTAGTACAACAGCTACCTGCCAATAAAACTCCCGTCAAAATCGGTCCAGCTATTTCGGAGATTAGCCAGTACAGACAGACAGAAAAAACTATAAAAAGCATTATTTTGGTATAATCGTATATTTATTAAAATCATAATGTACAATCATATATACACTCCAATTTATTTATCTGTGTGTATATCATATCCATATTGACACAGGGAAGTGTATTGCCAACATGTAGTACCTTTTAGGTGTACTTTGCATAGACAAAGACCTCGAAATGTCATGTGCCCATTTATGTCTCCGCGATGATTTGAATCAGTAAGGTCAGTGATTGGAAACAATGAAGTCGTTACACTAAGGTAACTTAACTAGTTAGTTTTATAAACAAACAGTGGGTGAAGGATATTTGTGGAAACTAGTCACTAATGTTATGACATAGACGATGCCACATACTGGTAGTAGACACACAAGAGCTGTCGGTACGTTTAACTAAGACTAAGTTATAAAGAAAATAAAACTAAGTTATATAACAACGAAACTTTTTAGAACTTGTTGCCAAAACAAAGCGGTATCTATATATCTCTATCGATTTATCAAGTATTCAATCTATGAAAGTAATCGATCGATTTTATCGATGATGGAATCGATATTGATTATTATCGGCGCTGCAACAGAGGTTAATGATTGTTTTCATTTTCAAAGAGGAACCGCTGCATTTTTCCGTGGATCGTATCAGTATATTTATTTCATATAGATATACCTATACTTAAGTCTTCTAGATCATAGGATAAAACCGTTTTAGTACTAAGTACCTAGTATGTATATCTGTGCATTAAACCATAAATACACGTCTTTTAAGCCCCGAAGGGGTAGCATCACTTATACGAAAGGAATGTACCATCCATTGTTCACCAATTCTGTTATGAGTCCCATGTAAGTAAGTAATAGAGGGATTATTGCCATACCTCGGAACAATTTGCACTTACACAACTGACTGCACGGTTGGTGCGGTGGCTGGGCAACCGGCTGCCGTGCAATGTGTCGCGGGTTCGGTTCCCGCACGGAACGATACTTTGTGTGAACCACAAATTGTTGTTTCGGGTCTGGGTGTCATGTGTATGTGAACTTGAATGTTTGTAAACGCACTCACGACATAGGAGAAAAATCATAGCGTGGGGCAACGTTTTTCTTTAAAAATTAAAAAATATTGAATTTCAGATGTTTATATTAAACTTTCGTGAGACATAATACTAAATGAATTATTATATTTTTCGGCTTACTTACGTACGGCTGCAAGCATGGCTTGAAACTAGTCGAGTTCCTCGTCAGTAAGTCGGAAAACATAATAATTAATTTAAGATGTCATGCTTTTACAGACAACTTTTAGTTTTGTACTTACAGGCTCCTATAATTTGGGTTCTTAGTAGTGCCGCCTGAGTAGCCGACTCGAGTCCGGATTACTCCGAGGGTGGCTCCGAACAGAGAGTCGTTGGCCCAGAAGCAACCCATACCAAAGGTGGCTTTCTTCGTGGGGATGTCCACATCGTGAAGGAGAGCAGCCTGGGGATACAAGAGAGGCACTTATGGTTAGAATAGATTAATCCATGTTTTGGCTTACCTCTGTATACATATGACTAAGTATTAGAGTAGACGCAACTATAGAGTAGAGAGTATAAGTAAATCTAAACTTGCATGGCAGGCATGCTTTCTTCGTAAATATGTCGTAACATTTCGAGCGTTACAACTTGTGAACTTGGGTAATTTATACATGCCACTATCAGTAGTCAAAGGGTCATCAATTAACAAGGATGACCATTCAGAAACAATAGTAACTGCGTATAATTTTGTATTATCTGTGGTCCCCTACAAGGAACAACGTAATTGACTATTGATTATGCGCCGTGGGTGACAACACACGAGATGATAAACTCCAATTAATTATGCATTTATTGATATAAGATATAATTAGAGGGTTCTATAATTTCTTGAATGGAGATTTTGTTATCTACTACGAGTATTTGTAGTGCAGACGAAATATCGATGCGTAGTTTCCGATTGTGACTATAGCTAAGTTAGATTTGATTTAACCATTCAAAAAAAGTAAAAGCAACAAGAAACGAGACTGATGCCCCAGAGGCCTAGACCTATATTTACAATTGACCCTCTCGGATGAGAGATGAGACCCAGTACCTACCTATTTTTGTGTTAGTAAATTGTCTACATCCTGATATATTATAAGGTTCAAAATAGGGTCCATTGTAGGTCAAGTTCAATGACCAAAATATAAAAGCTGGAGATAAGTTTAATAAAAAAAATGTAACATTTAAAACAAACATATGCAAGGACTGATTAGATTTTTTGATCTGTTGCTCAAACGATGAAATTGTTTGTCGTATTGATTTCAATAAAGGTTAGTCAATAATCGGGAGGAAAGACGTCATATATTTTTTTTCTTAAGTAGGGACCTACCGTTGGCAGCGTAGAAATTATTAGGTATATCTATGGTTGGCTGGCTATGCTAGATTTTAAAAAACATATCGATACCAGAAGTATCAATTAACGTAAGGGACATTTTGACGAAAATAAGTTATATATATCATTGGATCCAGAATTTTGCGCTCTATCGATTGGTATTATTAAAAAAAATCTATCGTTAAAAAAAGAGCCCTTACAGTAAAAATTTTTGGCCTGCGTAAAACGATTTATGACAGAAAAATTGATGTAACAGACATTTATATATTTTTTTCTCTGAAAAATAAAGTAAGTCATAGTATTAAATAATTTACACCCTTACCTTAAACCTCAAATCAGTCGATTTAAATAACATGTCCCTTACTTTAATTCAAGATTATTGTTTTTTCTAAATTATTCTTTGACGAATGACGAATGACGAAATGCTTTGACGAAAATTGAAGTTAAATATACAATGTTAGAGACTGGTGATACTTACGACATAGAGCTCTCCAAAGAATTAATTCCAAAGAATTTTAATGCAAGAGGAAAGGGTAAAGGGATTGGGAAAAGAAGTGCTGCTAGAGGTAAAATTAAAAAAAATATAGACAACAAAAATGAATCTGCAGCTGAAAGTACTAGCAATGACATAAGTCAAAGGAACACAGACAATTTGCCATCTCTATATAAAGAGAGGCTCCCAATTTCCATTCCAAAATACAATGATCTCAAAAAATTGTGCGACACGGGCATAATACCAAAAAGATTTCATGTTGAATATTTGAACCTGCCGACTAAATCGTCAGTTAAAGATACCCTCATTGAAACTGACGACGATGAAGATGTGAAGACAGCTGATGACGATAACTAGATAAAATACCAAATAGAAAAAGTTATTTCAACCCTTCCGATTTCACCATTAAAAAAGTTTAATTTACTAATAGTTATCATCATAATCTGTCTGCCCATTCCTAATTATTATATATTTATTCTTGTAATAATATATATATTAGTGTTCATGTTTTATATTATTTTATTCATTTTTTTCTTCAGTCAATTCATATTTTTTCATCGTCTTTCGTTTCCAGTACATTCAATTACTCAATAAATTTTAGGACATTTATTTAAACTTAACAAAAACTGTTATAGACTGATTAGTGTGTTGAATTTATAATAATTACGCAGACATAAAAGTCGAAAATAATAAAAATATTTTAACAAGAAATCGTTTTATTTTTGTATCCCTAAATTTCATTTAAATTTGTGATAGCTAAGCTCATTAATCATGCAAAGAACCTATTTCCAAAGTATCAAAATACCATAATTTTAGTAGATAATCTATAGTTACATCAAACTGCAATACTATAAAAGTTCTTTACAGTAGAATTTCGTATAATTTTCTATTTCTTTTGCTGCTTACGCTATGCTTGACGGTTTACACATAAAATATTGGTAACGTAAGGCACAACTAAACATATTTTTTTAATGTAAGGGACATGCTATATTTTGAACCGCTGGGTATTCCAAAATATTAACTTTATAGCATGAAAGAAGAAGCAATTCTAAGAAACTTTGTCCTAGACACAATTAAAATAGGAAGCACCAGTTAAAAGTTATAGAGAGATTTAAAAAAATAAAATCGTTTTTTGGCTCTCCTGAAAATACGTGTTTTGTCCCTTACATTAATTGATACTTCTGGTGTCGATATGTTGTAAGTATGCCCCTTTGAAAGTTTGACTACTTTTTGCAGCCAGCTAGTTAGGTGAAATTGGACGAAAAATCGACATAAAAAACTACTACACTTGTACTATTTTCTAAAACGTAAGCTACTGAGCATAAGGAGTTCTAGATAGCTTCAGTGGCGGGTAAACCTTGTTGAAAAGGGTGCATGCTTGCTGAATAAACAGATAAAGACCAAAAAAAGTATCAAATCTTTACCGTAAAAAAAAACTAACTCCATAGGTGTTTGCAAAAACACTTCTATCAATGGAAATTTCAACAGACAATTAGGACCATGACCTGTCTATTTTTTACGTCCATTCTAAAACAAGTAACTGGACTCCTTAGTTAGTTGATCGTTCCGTTATATCATGCCGACAAGTTATCATCAATGCGTGATTGTCGGATGCGGATATGGCAAACCATAGGCTTAAAGTGTAGGGTTTTCAGTTTCTTCAAGCAATTACATACTTGAAGAAGTAATTGCTTGAAGAAGAATAATTATTATTATAACTTCTCAGGTCAAAGATATGGAAACTATGGAAAGCAACGGTAAAGTAGATTACCTTTTTGAAAACAATTCCGTTAATGTACCTAATTAAAAAGTAAGTAGTGCTAACCACAGGGTGACCGAAACAATAACAATTAACGAAACACTAATTGCAGGAACCAGCCTAATAATAATTTAATTAATTTAAAAGAATAACTTAAATTGCAAAAACATGATAATATGCAAAAAATGTTTAATAAATATCTTAGGTACTACTACATACAATTTTCGCGTCAACCCAAATGAACAAACTTGATGAAGTAATACTTAATTCATTAATTTACAAAAAAAAAAAATAAACCCAAAATAAAATACTCACGTTAACTGGTGGCTTCATGTTGAAGAAACTTCTAACAAATCTCAGCATGCACGAAGACAGGTACCCAGTGGGTTAGATGTGCAATTAATAGAAAATTAAAATTTTGGAAGATAATTTTAGTTTGTGTTTGATTTCCGCGTGATTAAGATCGTGGTGAGGTGAGGAGTGCGGCCGCGACACGTCGGCGAGCTGTGGCGGTCCGGCGAACACTGCGGTAATAAACGGTCGGCGCGATGGCTTTACCTTGCCGTCACAATCTGTTACACGTTTTCCTACAACACGCAGTGTCGCGCTGTGTGCAATATTCGGCAGATAATTTTATATCCAAACAAAGAGTTTGTCGCTTGATTGTATCGATATTGATATAAGTAAATAAATAAAATCTATTTTGATATTTATCAAAGTTTTTGTTGCCAATTTATAAGGATTCTTTTGTTCCATGGCGCTATTTTAGCTACGACGCACAGGTTGTGTAACCTTGCTGACGAGGCGACCGCGTGTCTGACACGAACTGCCGGAAAACCCACCGCTTGATGAATCAATAACACATGTAAGTAGGTATACCTATCCAAACTTCTCAAATATTTCCCCTAAACTTTTATTTTTCAAAGTCTGGTCTCGGTTAGTTTGGACGTAGCGAAGGCCTTCGACCGGGTTTGGCATAAAGCGCTTCTTTTAAAACTTTATTCAAATAAGGATGGTTTTTAAACTTGCTTATTAGCGTGTGACATCTCTGAGCTGAGCATGGCCCCATAATGTTTACTTCTTTAATTACCTCTACATATCACCAACTTCTACTTGTTTACTTAGGTCTTTATTACCTTTATTTTTTGACCTCTTCACACACAAACACAATTAGTGAGTAGCGGACTTAATGTCTTAAGCCGTCTTAAGGAATTCTCTAACAGTTAACCATTAGGGAAGTGCAGGGAAATGAAGCTGTTGATGCGAAGCCAGACCTCATTAAAAATATTTAAATAATATGTATTAGTATACATATATAAAATTCAATACAATAAATATATTAATACAATATTTTAACATCGTCATCACTTAGATAATACTTATACTTAGGTACTAAATAAATATTACAGTACATTACAGAGAACTTTGTCAAAATAGTTACTTCATTTGTTTTGAGTCTACCAAGTGCAAATGCTTAAGTAGGTATATGCTTTCAGAATTTAAATTCGGAGGAACTGCGATTTGTTGCCATTCTGATCTCCTTGGACAGCGCATTCCATTGAAGACAGCTTGAATGAAAAAAGATAGAAGTCAGTGCGATGCGAGATATTTTGATTCGCCTGCCAGCGCAAGCGTATGGGCAGTCACTTTGGTTGTATCCACAGAACATATAAAGGAGGATAGAACGGCCTTGTGGGCGGTACACGCGTGCCGCGGTTATGAGCAAATGCTCCAAATCTACCAAAATGTCAAAAACCGGCCATCAAACGCAATGTTGTTGTGACAGCGTACGAAACTCCGCAAATAATATTAAATTATGCCGTCTTGGACTATTGTAATGTGTCGGAAAAGAAGACAGGTGTGCAATGTAGCACGAGAAGGGATTTCTTTCCACCAGTGACTTCAAAAACATTAATATACTTGTGATATTTGTAATTATAACATTAATATTATGACGTTTCTAGACAAAAACGACATTATCGCAAGCAGTATACATTGCTTGCAATAGATACGTACCGTTTTGCACTACATAAACGATCGCGCAATGTATTACGTTCACAACGAGAGTCCCGAGTATCAAATCAAAACGTCATTTCCTCGAATCGATATAGAGAAGTGTCAATTTGTAAACAATGTCGATAATTACTATGATACAAAGGATTATTATCAAATTATACACATTATAACTAAAATAATTTTATTTATTACGACTAATTATGAAATAGGTTTTAAGTGAGGCATTTTATTCGTATTTCAGTTTTATATAATTTTTTATGTATTCGTTATGTTTTGTTCAGTAAGTAGACTGATTTTATGATTTAGGAAATTTTGTTTTACATTTCTACCTTGATATCATCTAAGGGACATCTAAATCATTTTTCGTAAGATGGATACTCTTTCATACATGCTTAGGCCCAAATTGTAAATAGTTGAAACTATGAGAAATTCTTAAAAGCCAGCCGAAATTTTAGT